AATCATTCTATCATTTTTGAGATTGTATCCCAGTACAGCTTTTCCCACTCTTTTGTTGACTATGAGGGCTACTCCATTTCTTCTAGGATTCTTGCCCACAATAGTAGCTATGATAATTGTATGAATTGAATTCACCAAATCCCGTCCATTTTAGTTCACTGACACCCAGGATGTCAATGTTTATTCTTGCCATCACCTGTTTGATCACATCCACGGTTCATAGATCTTACATTCCAGGTTCCTATGCAGTATTTTTCTTTGCAGAATCAGACTTTCCTTTCACTTCCAGACACCTCTGCAGCTGAGCGTCCTTTCGACTTTGGCCCAACCACTTCATTAGCTCTGGAGCTACTTGTTCTTGTCCTCCACTCTTCCTCAGTAGCATGTTGGACACCTTCCGACCCGAGGGACTCATCTTCCAGCGTTGTATCTTTTAGCCTTTTATTTCTGTTCATGGAGTTTTCTTGGCAAAGATACTGGAATGGCTTGCCAGTTCCTGCTCCAGGTGGATTGTGTTTAGTCCGAACTCTCCACTATGACCTGTCCGTCTTGGGTGTCCCTGCATGGCATAGCCCATAGCTTCTCGGAATTACTCAAGCCCCTTCACCACGACAAGGCAGCAATCCATGAAGCATTTAAATATAAAAATGAAGAATACAGCAGGAGAACTCAACTTGTAATTGGTCCCAGAATCATGAATGGTAACTATCACTCAGCCTTTAATGCAGTATGTCACAGTTTTGGACTATATCTTCAAGAATATCTCCAGCAGTCATGGACTATTGACCAAGGGAACCAAGCAGTCTAGGATTTCCTGACCGCGGAATTTTGCCATGATACATAGCCTGTGGTCTAGACTGTTGCTGGAAAACTAATCTAAGAGACAAATACCAATTTTTTCTCCTACCTCGGAAATAATGGAAATGGCTGTGGTTGTTGTTTTTGTTTCCAGCCGTTTGCAACCTTTTTTTAAAATCACGGCCATAAACACAATATGAAAGAAATATAGGCGGAATCAGGATTGTATACGTTGCATAATGAACCTTATAAGGTGGTATGAATAATTGCTTCCAGTCTGTGGCCCCCTTCAAATGTGCCAGGGGCCCCCAGTGGGTCATATGGCCCCTGTTGAAGGCAGTTAAGTCCAGCTGAAGGCAGTTAAGATGTACCTCTGAGTAGATACACACCAAATGCACGTAGTAACTCATCAAACTTTTTTCTTTACAACCTATGGTTCTGTTTCTTTTCCTTGACCCTTGTCTTAAAAGACTTCAATGAATAGGCTTACATGCAATGAAAGTTGAAACTACAGTGAAGCTAGAAAGTAGAGTGCTAGCCACACTTTTAACTAATAGGAACAGCTTCAAGTAATTAATTTTAATTGTAGATCCAAATATTATACAATTTCCCATTGTATAATATTTGGATCTACAATTAAAATTAATTACTTGAAGCTTTTCCTGTAAGTTAAAGCTGCAACTGAGAAGGGGGTCAGGTCATAATTCATATTCCAGCACTGCCATGTTACTGTAGATAATAAGCAGCACAGAAATGGAGGGAGATGGACTGCCAGGGTGAAGGTATTTTAACTAGATAAAACCTGACATAAGAGTCAGCAATTAGAACTTAATTAAGATCCACATATAGCATAACAGGATGAACCAGTTTCTCCCCTACTTCTCCTTTGCTGCATTATAGAGCCCATCTAAATAAAGTGGAGATATCTAATAAACTTAGTTTTATTGGGAGACAGTCCACCCAATAAAATCCAATGTTGAAGACATTTAGCTTCTTCAGTCTTGCTCAAACTAAACAAAACTTAATTGTCCCTCTTACTGGTATTCACATATAATTTGATATATATATGACTTATAGCATTTTCCTTTAATTTTCTAGATGTGAGTTCTGGCAGTTCAATGGACTGGGCATACAAAAACGGCATTCCATATGCATTTGCATTTGAGCTGCGCGATACAGGTCATTTTGGATTTTTACTGCCTGAGACCCTAATCAAACCCACGTGTACAGAGACCATGCTGGCTGTTAAAAATATAACCATGCACCTGCTAAAGAAGTGCCACTAGACAGCAAAAAGGAGTGAAATTGAGTCCCTCATTATTATTATTGAAATTGTTTATTACATAGACATTGTCAAATGACTGAAGAACTGAACGTAACATGCCATGCTTTAGGACCTCATAGAAGGAAAAATGTGGCATTAATTTTACATATAGAAGCTGTTAAATAATAAGGTACCTACTTTGGATTGTATGTATCCTGTATGTACCATGTTATTGTAGAAGTGCAGAAATCAGTATGTAATTTGAAAATCAATTGGCTGGCAATGCCTGATGAAATTGCAAAATGAGTGCCAGAGCAGAGATACAAAGAAAGACTGACCGTAGTTAGGAGAGGCAGGGTTTCAGTGTCCCTCCCAAGTAGCTTTTTGCTTCAGTTCATGACTGGCAGGAGCAGAATAAATTATGCAAAATAGGCATGTCTAGTCAAGTTTGCATAATTTATACAAGCCAAAGGTACCAGCTTAGCTTAAAGGAGAAAGACTGAGTTATCATGGCACAGAATGTGGATTTTTCAAACACAGAATATGTGCAGTCCTGGATGTATCTTTTGTGTGCAATGTTACGTTAAATAATGTTTTTGTGGGGATAACAAAGCTCTTTCATTTTCTGCCTCCTCCATCACTATCATTAACTTTAATTACAGTAGAATAAGCTGCTTCTTACACAGAAAAATAGCAGGTAAGATCCATATATAAAACTCACAGCAAGAACTGACAAAGAAAAAGAAGAATTTGTTTGTGTTCTTCCATCGCAAACTGAAACAGGACCATGGAATTTTCCAAAACAGACCCAGAAATAAACTGACAGAGATACAGTGGGCTGCACTGACAGAGAAGAAGTTGGTGGCGTAAAATATGTGATTGTTATTACCCATCAGTTCTATTCTGAGTACAGCCCCAGAAATAAACTGACAGAGATACAGTGGACTGCACTGACAGAGAAGAAACAAATATGAATTTGATTAGTTGGTGGCGTAAATTATGTGAGTGTTACTGCCAATCCAGTTTGTGGTCATACATAATTCCATGTCCTAACTTCCTGAACAAAAATGGGAACACCCTTTAAAACTGAGGCTATATGTACATGTATTTAAATGTGCATCTTACTTATATTCCTGATTTCTAATCCAGCAAATTATGTAGCACCTGGATCAGGGAGAAAAAGAGCATCTGCTGTTTCCTTGATACTTCAACTTTATCAGTTTTATATGTCATGTTTTTGAGTAGTGTGAGAACTTGTTAATACAGTGCATAATGAGTGTTTAATTAAACCATTTTTTATGACTCTGAAAAAGAAGTGACTGGTTATCCACTGTTACCTCCAGCATATGTATCTACTTCTTAAGGTTAAATGTTAAATCATGCATTGCAATATCAATTCATATTGTATATATTTCTGATATTGACACTCGCCATCATTAATGATCATTCTGCATTCCTAAGGCAGTCTACAAATAAAAATATTGTATTTAGTGAAAATAGGATCTTAGAGCGGTTTTTAAATTTTACATTTTAAGATACCAGAGTACAGCTTGCCCTTTTGCCAACAAAAAAGTCAGTCACCCTCCAGGCAAATGTGAAGTACAAAGGGAGAAGATAGGATTGCCACTTGAGAATGATAAGCAAATAGTGAAGGAATACCTTATTAATTAGAACAACTTCAGATCTCCAGGGCTGGATGAACTGCATCCAAGAGTAATAACAGAACTGGCTGAAGAACTCTCAGAGCCGCTATATATCCTTTTCTTGAAATCATGGAGGATTGGTGAAGTATTGGATGACTGGAGGCCTAACTTGTCCCTATCTTCAAAAAGGGGAACCTGGGAACTATTCACAAGTCAGTCTGTACTCACAGGGAAAATTCTGGATCAGATTATAAAGTGCTCATTGTGCAAGCACATTGAACACAATGCAGTAATAACTAAAAGCCAACATGGATTTGTCAAGAACAAATCCTGCCAGACTATTACCTCATTTTTTGATCAGGAAAGCTCCTGATAGACAATGAGAATGCTGTAAACATGATGTATCTTGAATTCAGCAAAGTGTCCCATGATTTTCTGATTAGCAAACTAACTAGGTATGGGTTTGATAGAACAGGAATTCTCAGTGGTGGTCATATGGCCTCCTCAAGGGCCCTGCACATTTGAAGGGGGCCACAGACGGAAGTGATTCTTCACACACTACCTTACAAGATTTATTATGCAACTTATACAATCCTGATTTGGCCTATATTTCTTTCACATTGTGTTTTATGCCCATGTCCAAAAAAAGGTTGTGAATGGTTGTGAGTGAACAGTCAGATGGATACACAGTTGGTTACAGAATCATACTCAGAGAGTGCTTATCAATGGCTCCTTCTCAAACTGCAGGGGAGGTAACGTCGGGTACCACAAGGCTCAGTCCTGGGCCCAGTGCTCTTCAATATTTTTCTTAATGACTTGGATGAGGGAGTGCAGAAAATACCAAATTTATGGATGACACAAAATTAGCTGGAATAGTCAATACTGTACCCTGTTAAGACAGAAATAAAACTCAAAAAGATCTTGATAGACTTGAGCACTGGGCAGAAAACCACAGAATGAAATTTAACAGGGATATGTTCAAAGTTCTACACCTAGGGCAAAAAAAAAACCACAGTTAGTTGCAAGATGGGGGATATTTGGCTCAGTAATACTACAAGTGAGAAGGAACTTGGAAATATTATAGATCACAAGTTGGATAGGAGCCAACATTGTGATATGGCCTCAAAAAAGGCAAATGCTATTTTAGGCTGCATTAACAGAAGTATAGTCTCCAAATTCCATGAAGTACTAGTTCCTCTCTATTTGGCACTGGTTAGGCCTTATCTCGAGTACAGTTCTGGACTCCTCACTTTAAGGAGGATGTCATCTAGAGATGGAAGGTGGTGCTGAGTTCCATCTTCCTTCTCCCAGACTGCCTGGTGCTCTTACCTGGCTCCACATGCTGCTGGGGTCCTTCTTTGGCAGCGGCAGTCCAATCCAGGCAGGACCCTAGACAGCCTTTTCCCACCTCCCCAGGCAGTCAACCACTCATTGGTTGTCCCGCCTCCTCACCAGAGTGGTTGGCTGCCCGAAGAAGTTGCATCCAACTTTCCAACTTGCACTAGCAATTCTGGTTCAGAGTCCAAAGACCCACATTCTGCTATGATCCTGGAGCCATCTTCCACTGATGGAAAAGGAAAAGTCAGTTCAGATATTTCTCTTTCTTTTCTTGCCAATCATCTAACTCTTTGCATTTATTTCTTTATTATTTCTATTTCTATACTGCCTTATTAGTGTTATCACTCTGGGTGATTCACAACATACAATAAAGCCATACAATTAAAAACACCAAGTAATAAATACTATAACAATACTATAAACTACAATAAACCTTGTCACTTGCTGGAAGAATGAACCTACCTTTAACTAGATATACACAGACTGAAACCATTTGAGCATCTTCGGTCACCACTAGTAAAAGGCACTACTGTATTACATATTTCTGTCCGAATTAGCTTCCTGAAAACAAAGAGGGATGGCACTAGGTGAGCCTCTGTAGGAAAGGGTATTCCAGAGGGAAGAGCCACAAACAAGAAAGTTTGATTCTTAACGCTGGGTTTTTCAGTCTCCTTGGGTATTACTATTCTTAATATCAAGGATTGTGAAGATTGGGAGGGATGGGTAGCTATTTTATGGAAGAAACTTCGCACCAAATCGCCATCGTTCAGTCGTGTCCGACTCTTTGTGACCCCATGGACCAGAGCATGCCAGGCCCTCCTATCCTCCACTGCCTCCCGGAGGTCCTAAAATGTTGAAGGCTTTAGAAGTTATGACCAGCACTTTAAACTGAGCACAGAAAATAACAGGGAGCCAATGGAAGCATGTCAAGACTGCAGATATATGTTCATACCTGCTGGTACCGTAGTCAGTCTGGAAACCACATTTTGGACCTGCTGATGTTTCTGCATTGACCTTAAGGGCAGCCCATTATATTAGTCTTTTTTAGAGATTACCAACACAGGAACCACTGTTGTTAGGCATTTTTTTATCCAGTTGGGGCACAGCTGGGCAATCAGCTAAAGCTGCTAAAAGGCACTCTTGGCAACAGCAGATATTTGTGCCTCCATAGAGATAGCTGTGTCCAAGAGTACCCCCTGCTGTGAATCCGATCCTTCAGGGATAAATATCCCTCTATTCAGTCACATGATCCTCCCCAACAGTAGGATCCAGTCTCATCTGCATCCAGTTTCAGTTTATTGGCCCTTGTCAAGTCCATTATCAACATCAGACAGTGCCCAAGGATCCACACAGCCTCACCTGCAGATGAAGAGGAGAGAGCTCTGTGGCATCTGGGCATTGATGACAATGAACTCCAAATCTCCATATAACATCTCCCAGTAGCTTGATATAGATATTAAAAAGCATTTAGGAAATGGCCAGTTCCTGTGGGATCCTGTAACAGAAATGTGGATAACCTCTCCCCAAGCTGTACCTTCTGAGATCAGCCCTCAAGGAAGCACTGGAAAAATGGAGCTCCCAAGTCCCAAACTCAATAGCTATCCCAGAAAGATACTGTGGTCAGTGGCATCAAAGGCTGCAGAAAGATGCAAGAGGGTCAACAGGGGTACATTCCCCCCGTCTGCCTCCCTCAGGAAATTGTCTTGCAGGGCAACCAATGCCCTTTCAGTTCCATGGTACAACCTGAACTCCAGTTGAAATGGATCTAGGCTATCCATTTCCTCCAAGAACCCCTGCAGCTGGACAGCTACCTCTCTCAGTCTTCTTGCCCAGGAATGGATTGTTGGCAACAGATCTATAATTATTAAGATCATCAATTGATAATTTAGAATTATTTTGAATGGACCTTATAATGAAATGAAATATGGGTGCATGCACACACAGAGTAAAGGGAGCTTGAACTTGGTTGGTAAGCTTTTTGTCACATACATACATTTCTAAAATATAAGAGCCATGGCTTGAATCCAGTTGGTATTTCCAACGGGAGTAGCCCGGTTGAATCAACAGGATTTATGTAAGCATTGATTCCCAATCAACAATTGATTTAAGTGGGGATACCAATTGGACTTAGGTCTATAAACAGTGTGCTGCTTATTTGGTTATCAATATTGTACATTCTTAGCAGTTAACACTGTTGAACTGGGAATACAGTCAACCATTGACTTACAAACTTAATCCATTCTGGAAGGAAGTTTGTAAGTCGAAAAATTCATAAGTCGAATCAGCATTTCCCATAGGAATGCACTGAAAACCAATTAATCCGTTCCGGCTGTTTTTGGTTCTTAGGTCAAGGGGTGGTTTGTAACTCGAATCATTAGTTCCCATAGGAACTAATGCAAGGCCGGTTAATCCGTGCCTACCACTAGGGGCAGAATTTTTTTATTTTTTTCCTTTTAAACTAAGATGACTTAGGTTAAAAAGAGGAAAGAAAAGAGGGAGGGAAGGAGGGAACAGACACCTTTTCAACAGACCACCTTGAAATACACCTTTTTAGCCAAAACAAGCACCCTCTGGGAAAAACCAAGCACTTTTCAGACAACAGATCACCTTGAAAAGCACCTTTCATTGCAAAATGATGTTTTAATGGGCAAAATCTGCTTTGCGACAGATTCGGGAACCGATTTTTCGCATTATGATGATCAAAACAGCTGATTGTCGGGTTTTCAAAATGGCCACTGGCTGTTCAAAATGGCTCCCCGTTGTGTTCAGGATGGATTTTTCGCTGCACAGGCATCGGAAAATGGCCGCCCTATGGAGGATCTTCGCTGGACGCTGAGGTATTTCGCCCATTGGAATGCATTGAACCGGTTTTCAATGCATTTCAATGGGCTTTTTTATTTCGCTTGACGCTCTACAGCGATTTCACTGG